TCAGTAAGCTCATTTTGCAGGTCATATCAAGTAGAGTACTGTTATGGCTTATTTTTGAGTAGAGTTGATAACTTAGTAAACCCTTGAGTTTTATAATCATATTGTTAAATAAGAAGAGATACACACAAAGATGCCTCTCTGACTTTGGATATATCTCTAATTTTTATGAAATATTTAGAACACATAAGTGAGAAAATTCAAGAGTATTCAGGAGATGCTATACAAAAAAAAAAAAAAATAGCTACTCTTACATTTCCCCTGTGTAAAACAATGTTAGCTATTTACTAAATGCAATGACTAGCTTTTGTAACACACCCTATGTATTTACATTTATTATAGAATAAACATAATCATTTGTTAGTGACAAACATTAGATAGAGACTTTAACAGAAATCCCCTCTGCAGAAAACTCTCCTTGGACTAAAAGTATAACTACACTAAAGCAATTTCAAAACGGGTAGACAAAAAAAAAATCACAATCATATAATTACATAAAAGCTACAATGTTGTAGCCGTTTTATACTGTAACGGGTTGCAATGTTTGTATTTATCTACCAGGGAATTAAACTATATATAAATACGTGCACACACACACACAGTAGAGATTAAGTTAAGAAATAGAGAGTTTAGCTTTAGTTCAAGAAGCCGAAAAAGGGTTTTGATCAAGGATTCAGTTTCCTCTAATTAAGCCCTTAATTAACTGTCCCTAATAATACATTCCTTTTTCCCATCTATTTCTGCTTAAATGCCTTACTGACAACACTTACCTTCCTCACATTCTAGCTTCTCATTAGAATGAAGTATACGCTGTGAGTGTTACAATAGTATCTAGAATTTTAGGTACACATAGTAGAAATACAAAAGAGAAATTTATCCAAGGACAAGATTTCTCCTCTGCCTGTCCTACGAGACGCCACCAGCTCTTCAGTGATTTTAACTCATATCCTACCACTCTTCTAGACTGTGGTTTATAGTGTCAAACAAAAATGCACAATAAAGCTTGTTTTAATGCACCTTAAATGCATTTAAATTAACATAGCTTTATTTCTTTCAAAGGCACTCGACATATATGTATAGAAGCAGCAAAGAACTGGGTTATTGTTATTCTAAATGTCTCTGCATAGCACAGTTTTCAGAAGTCTCCACTTGCAAGAGAAAAATATATGTATACTGTTTCAAAAGTAAAATACCTTTGTTGAGATGAAGGAATACTCTGTCCATGTGCATAGTGGGAGAAAACACAATTGCAATAGCATAGCTATTTATTTTTCTGGTACATATGCAAGACCCCTTCTCCTCCCTCCTTCCAGCCCCCAATTTTTGAGTTATTACTTAGTATTATTTTTCTATATAAACCACTACGACTTTGGAGGAATGGGTTTGGAGGAACGGCTTTGGTCTGCAGGATTGGGTTTGGAGGAATGGCTTTGGTTTGGAGGAATGGCTTTGGTTTGGAGTATTGGGTTTGGAGGGATGGCTTTGGTTTGGAGTATTGGGTTTGGAGGAATGTCTTTGGTTTGGAGTATTGGGTTTGGAGGAATGTCTTTGGTTTGGAGTATTGGGTTTGGAGGAATGCCTTTGGTTTGGAGCATTGGGTTTGGAGGAATGTCTTTGGTTTGGAGGAATGGCTTTGGTTTGGAGGAACACCTTTGGTTTGGAGGATTGGGTTTGGTTTGGAGGAATGGCTTTGGTTTGGAGTATTGGGTTTGGAGGAATGGCTTTGTTTTGGAGGAACAGCTTTGGTTTGGAAGATTGGGTCTGGAGGAATGTCTTTGGTTTGGAGGAATGTCTTTGGTTTGGAGGAATGGCTTTGGTTTGGAGGATTGGGTTTGGTTTGGAGGAACGGCTTTGGTTTGGGGTATTGGGTTTGGAGGAATGTCTTTGGTTTGGAGGAATGGCTTTGGTCTGGAGGAATGGCTTTGGTTTGGAGGATTGGGTTTGGAGGAATGTCTTTGGTTTGGAGTATTGGGATTGGAGGAATGTCTTTGGTTTGGAGTATTGGGTTTGGAGGAATGGCTTTGGTTTGGAGGAATGTCTTTAGTTTGGAAGATTGGGTTTGGAGGAATGTCTTTGGTTTGGAGGAATGTCTTTGGTTTGGAGGAATGTCTTTGGTTTGGAGGAATGGCTTTGGTTGGAGGAATGGCTTTGGTTTGGAGGAACGGCTTTGGTTTGGAGGAATGGGTTTGGAGGAATGTCTTTGGTTTGGGGGAATGTCTTTGGTTTTGAGGAATGGCTTTGGTCTGGAGGAATGGCTTTGTTTTGGAGGAATGTCTTTGGTTTGGAGGAATGTCTTTGATTTGGAGGAATGTCTTTGGTTTGGAGGAATGGCTTTGGTTGGAGGAATGGCTTTGGTTTGGAGGAACGGCTTTGGTTTGGAGGATTGGGTTTGGA